TTCAAGGCCCCAACACAGTTTTCAGTGCCCAGGAGACATTCATCTGGTGTCAGTCTGTCAAACTAACATGGAATCTTTCCTTGTTCCTATTTCCTGCTTTGCTGAAATATAATGTATGTTCTAAAAACTCTGAGGTAAACTTTATGAAAAAATTACTACTACCAATTTATCCCCAGAAGGCACCACTTTCAGGACTCCTTCATGCCTTTTGTCTCCATCTTAAGCACTTTATTTTCGACCATGATGGATATGAGGAGTTAAAGATTCAGAATGAATATGGACAAGCGATAAATAACCTAGAATTCACTGTATATGGCCTACTTTTAAAATGTTATCTATCATTAAAAACTCCCTCTTAGCCTGGCTGGGCATGGCTAAGGATCTAGGAGATCGAGGTTCAATTCCCAGGCAGGGTACATGCCCGGGTTGTGGGCTTGATCCATCTGCAGTTGGAGTGCAGGAGGCAGCCAATTAATGATGACTCGCTCATCGTTGATGTTTCCATCTCTCTCTCTCCCTCTCTCTTCCTCTCTCTGAAATCAATAAAGATATATTTACAAAAAAAAAACAAACAAAACACAACAAAAAATCCTCTTACATTATAGAGGTTCCTCAAAAATTTAAAAATAGAACTACCATATCATCCAGCAATTTCACTTGTGGATATTTACCTGAAGAAAATGAAAACAGTAATTCAGAATAATATATGTACTTCCATGTTCATTGCAGCATTATTTACAATAGCCAAGATATGAAAACAACCTAAGTGTCCACTGATGGATGAATGTGTGTGTATATATATGTATACACACACACACATATATACATATATATACACACACATATACACACAATGGAATATTATTCAGTCATTAAAAAGAATAAAATTTTGTCATTTGTGACAACATGGATGTACATTTAGGGAATTATGCTAAGTGAAATAAGTCAGACAGAGAAAGGTAATACTATATGATCTCATCCATATGTCTAAAAAACAACAACACAAAAACAAAAGCAAACATATATAAAGAGAACAGATTGGTGGTTGTCAAAGACGGGGGTGGGGGGGGTGGTAGTGGATGAAATGAGTTGAGGAAGCCCAAAGGTACAAACTTCCAGTTATAAAATTAGTAAGTCAAGGAGATAAAATAAAAAATAAAATAAGGTAGCCCAGCCGGTGTTGCTCAGTGGTTGAGCGTTGACCCATCAACCAGGAGGTCACCATTCAATTCCCGAACAGGGCACATGCCCGGGCTTCAGACTCGATCCCCAGTAGGGGGTGTGCAGGAGACAGCCACTTAATGATTCTGTCTCACTGATGTTTCTATTTATCTCTCCCTCTCCCTCCCTCTCTCTGAAATCAATAAAAACATTTTTAAAAAATTTTAATAAAATAAGCTAATCAAACTGGTGTTAACAAATAAATATGATGTATTTTTCCCAATGCATTTGGCAAAATTTTTCTTGATATCTTCATGAATGAAATGGAAAATTATGAACTAAATGATATGACTACAGTTCACAAACTAAAAAAAAGGAGTATCACCCCAATAAATTCAATAAAAAGGGGAAAAAGAACCCCTTTAATTTACAGATAGAACAAATGATACCCAGATAAGGGTGATAACGTCTGAATCTTAATGATCACTTATCAACTCAGAAATAGGTGGAGGTTTAAGTACCATGTGTTTGTTTAGGCCTGATTTTTAACAGGTATTATTGAGTGCCAGTTGGCTCACTTATTAAATAAAGGTGGGGTAAATGATATGATTGAGGTGGGTGCACATGCAGTGACCAGCACAGTTGCCCAGATTATAGAAAGGGGAGTCTCGAGTTTGAAATTTATGGGGACAGGTCCAGGGGTGAGGTGGGGCTAGCTATGTTCTGAAGAGAACAGCCCAGGAAAGAGAGCTTCACATTAATTTGTAGGGGACCTGGGGACTGTAACTTCATGGTTTGAGAGTATGGGTTTTGATTTCCCTCAAAGTAGGAGTCCCAGAATTGAAGACTAATGATCCTATGAAATTTAAAACATTGTTAAACTAATTTTATGTTATAGTTATTATAGTAAATAGGTACATTTAAAATATGAAAATAATTCAAAAAAAGGAAAACTGTATTAGAGGCATTATATATATTGTATGTTAATTCCCATTGTTACATAATCTCATCATCCCTAAAATGTTTGCTTTTTCACTTAATAATAAGCTCCAAAGAGCAGGGATTGTGTTTTTCTACCCCTAGTACTTAGCAAGGTGCCTGTGCTTAGCACTTACTCAGATTCTTTGTTGACTAAGGGAATGAATAAGTGAAGAAACCAACAGGCAATTGAACAGTTAGGATACAGTGAATCAGGAAATGCTGGTTAACTATTATATTAACATGATGTCCTGAAAACTTTTGTAATTTTGGTGGAATTAGCTTGTTACAGTGAGAATTGAGCAGAGCAATAGGTAATGGACAAAAATCATGTCATATCATATGTATGATACCATATCATAATTTGTAGTCTGTTTTGATGTCAGGGAGCACGTATTTAGTTGAAATTCCTATGGTTGACTCTCTGTTCCTTAGTGTAGTAGAACTACATAGAGAAAGACAAGTACACAAATGCATTTAGCCTTTTAAAAAATTTTTCATGCTAAATATTTGAACATTGAGTACTTAACATTCAAAAATTAACATTTAAAAAAATAAAAATGTGGCCTGGCCGGAGTCGCTCAGTGGTAGAGCGTCAACTCATGAGCCAAAAGGTCACGATTTGATTCCCAGTCAGGGCACATGACCTGGTTGTGGGCTCAATCCCCAGTAAGAGGCTTGCAGGAGGCACCTGACCTATGAGCCTCTCTCATTGATGTTTCTATCTCTCCCTCCCTCTTCCTCTCTCTCTAAAAAAAAAATCAATAAAAACATTTTTTTTTTTTTAAAAAGAAAAATGTGTAAGTGGCTCAAGAAGTTAGATGTGTCTAGGATGCTTAATAAAGACAAAATTATATCTGTTACTATACTGTTCTCTGTAGTGAATTCATTAACTGTCATGGAACTTTTTGTAATAATAGCAACTAAACATTATAGAATACCTCACTTCTACCAGGCCCTTTGCAAGTTCCTCTGCATACCTTTAATCCTTACAACAGCCCTAAGAGGGAGATGTTATTATCACCATTTACAGGTAAGATCACAGAGCCTTAGATCACACTGTGCCCAAGATCACCCAGGTAGGAAGCAACAGATTGCTTGCTCTGCCCAACCATCTAATGATTGTTTCAGCACCCACCCCACCTTTACATTACATAAACTTTTAAATATACTTTGCCTGTATTTATGTTTAGGCCTGCTTATTAAAAAAAAACAAAAAACCTCATACATCTTTATCATTTTATTCTTGCGTTTTATAAAGGGACAGAACACAATGTTCTTCCAGTGTTCTTTCTTTTTTGCCTCTGACACCACCACTGAGTTCACAGTGTGATCTTCACATGCTTGATCTTTCAGTGCTCTGTCAACTATCAGCTTTAGAGGCTGACTGGGGTCCTTTAACATGCTTTTCAAACTTATCCTTGCCCTTAAAGTGGACAAGTTCCCCCTCATATCTACCCTCCCACATTGGGAAGTTAAGGCATCCCTACTGAAAACATGAAATGTTTTTTAAACCTTTTGTTTATCATCAAAATTTATACCAACAGTGTTGATTTATACTTCATAACATATGTATCCCATTAGAATTTTTTATCACAAACAATACTGAAGGAATTTATTGGAAGGATACAAGGTAATTCACAGATCTGTCAAATACTAGGAAACCAGATTTAGGAAGTAGGAATATACAAGGATGAGGGATCTAGAACCAAGGTTAAGATACAGGAATAGCTGGTTAGAAGAGTGCTGTTATCAACTGGTAAACATGTTTGTGTACACATTTACATATAATATTGTTCATTGTTAATAAGAAAAATATTAGGAAAAAAATTAACTGAAAAGTCCATCAATAAGGCATTGGTAAAATAAATTATAATAAGAATAATTATATATCTGTATAATGAAATAGTGTATTGCTATAAAAATATAGATCTAAACATGCACTTATAGAATGATATTCAAGATATAAAAAGTTGGGGAAAGTTGCAAATACTATATTTAGTACTATTCTAATTTTATTTTAAAATATATTTAATTTTATATGTATAGAAAAAATTCAGGAGTAGTATGTACCAAACTGATGATAGTTGTTATCTCTGGGTCATTGGTTTATGGGAGCCTTTGATTTATTTATTACATCATATTTCTGTAATGCTTGAAATATTTTTGCTAATAACTGTTAAAGTAAATGAATATGTATGTACTAACTGGAGCCTTCAATTATAAGATTTTTTCCCCCCCAATACTTACATTTTTAGTATAAATAAGTCAATGACAGCCATATTTGGCTTTTTTTGCTCTGTTGTAAATAGATGTTCTCAAAAACAAGAATTTACACTCCTTTCCCCACTCTCCTCACCCTCTGCTATGGTATTCCTCATTTCATCAATGAGTATAGTCAGCTGAATATTTGAAGAGTAAAGAACAGATTCTAAATAATTTTACATGGCAATTTTGTGATTACTGTTTAGTAGCATGCTTTTACATATTGCTTTACCATAGTATGCAGATCTTAATCCCACTTTAGTTTTACATGTTTTATCTACTATTATCATCACTTTTTTAGTCACAATATTGTTTTAAATATCAGCTTATTCTCTAAAGGTACTTTTTTCCCCATTCTCACATAATCCTTGTGTTTCTATTATAATAAATATTTTTAACTTTGAGGAAAAACTTTTAGGTAAAGTTTTAAAAATATTTTGTATGTGTTTAAATTTGGCATAAAACTTGATAAAACTCATTTTAGTTGGATTTTAATATCTCAAATACTGAATTGAAAACTTATGTCATTTTAGTCTAACAGTTTAATCATGTTAAGAATTAAATTCATAATTTTTTGTTTTTTTATTTGTTTTTAGCATTCCATATTGGACGAAGAGATTTCTGTAGATGAAAAAATGCCTTTGTTTAGTAAATCACATAAAAATCCAGCAGAAATTGTGAAAATTCTGAAAGACAACTTAGCCATTTTGGAAAAGCAAGACAAAAAGACAGACAAGGTATGAGCTAAAACAATAACATTATTATTAAAATATATTTATTCCAAGACCAAAAACCAACATAAAATTTTAATGAATTTTACCCAAAATATGATCTGTGATAGGACACATAGGGTCTCTGTAAATACATTTAAATTGATTTCAGGTTTTATGCATCTGATAATTGTTGAGTCTGTTGTCTTGAACTCTTAGCATATCAGGACAGCACTCTAACCAATTAAAATTTCTTTTATTTTTAAATTTATTGACTTTAGAGAGATTGAGAGGAAGGGCGGGAGAGAGAGAGGAAGTAAGGAAAACACTGATTTGTTGTTCCACTTATTTTTATTTATTTCCCTATCTATTTAGTCCATCATTTAAAAAAAAATTTTTTTTGGCCTTTTTTCTTTATTGTTGAAAGTATTACAGATGTTCCCCTTCCCCCCCAGTTGAAACCCTCCACCAGGCATCCACCCCCGTTCCCCCAGGTCTTCTCCACGTTATTGTCTGTGTCCATAGGTCATGTATATATGCATCTAAGTTCTTTGATTAATCTCTCTCCCACACCTACTCCCACCCCCACCTTCTGCTTATTTATGCATTTATTGATTATTTTTTTTGTGTGTCCTGACTGGGGATCAAACCTGCAACCTTGATATATTAGGACAATGCTCTAACCAACTGAGTCACCTGTCCAGGGCTGTCTTGAGCTCTTGATTCACTATCTGGAGCCTCTGACCAACCCTGGATCCCTCTAGGCTACATAGCTTAAAAATCTAAGGGTTATACCAGTGCAGTGTTATACTGGCATGAAGAGTAAAAGTTTTTATTTAAAGATCGACTGATAGTTTTGACTGCAATGCAACCTCATTTTAACATTGCTTTAAGGTCCTACTAAGCAGAGCTTCCTCATAAGAAGGGCTTTTTAGTGTTTTAGTTATTCCCTTGAAGGGATGTTGAATCCTACATATTTGATTTCTCTCTACAGTGACTAGTTTATGGCAAGATTCAACTTATCTATAAAAAAAATACCCTTGAGTGTATAGCGTATTTCTGTCTCAGTGTATGATACAATCTTGTGTTCTTGTAAGGATGTAGAGATGTATTTTTCATCCTACATCTTGTAAGTAATATAAAAATATAATTTAATCCTAGTGTGCTTTGTAATATTGAGCCAAATATTGGTCCAAATAGGGAAAAAAAAAAAAAAGATCTTCAAAGAAGAATAATTCTAAATGACAAAAGAGAGAAAAAATTATAAAAACATAAAAGGATAATTGTCTTCGTTAGTAATCAGGAAAAGTCCAATTAACTGCAGTATATTCATAATATACATATTCTACCTTGGCAAAATTGTCTGATGGTGTTAAGTGTTGACAAGTATGGAAAGCAATAAGAACTTTGATCCACTGTGAGTGATAAAGTATAAATTGGTTTTTGGAAACCAGTTTAATATATTATCTAATTCCAGGACATTTTTTTCACCCCAAAAGAAACCCCATTAGCAGTCATTTCTCATTCTCCTCTCAACAGGCCCTAACACACACCAATCTGTTTTCTACCTCTATAGATTTTGATATTATTATTTAAATTTAATGAGGGTTTTGTTTTTTTAAGTTTCATTGATAGCACAAAAGATAATTTCTGTGGATTGACAAAGTTTATGGATTTTGACAACTTATGATTTTATACCTAGTCCATCAAAAAAAATCAGAAAAACCATAGCAAATGATTTAAAGACTACTAGCTACTGATAAGTCTTTAAAATGAAGTCAATTTAATTTTTAAGAGTTAAATTTAGAATTAATTACTAGCAAAGTGGACTATGTCTGAGTATGATTTAAGAGAAGATTATTTTCAATTATGCTGACTAAATAGAAATACTAGAGATCTTTTTTAAATATAAATTTTAGTAGCTTTTTAAAATAAAATAGCAGTGCTTACTAAAAGGTTTTTGTTTATAACTATACAGTGTTCTTTGATCATAAATAGGCACTAATAAGTGATTTTTGTTTGTTTATTTGTTTATAGCCTGAAAATTTTTATTCACTTAAGACTTAGCATATTTTTTGGTCACTAGGCTTCGGAAGAAGTGTCGAAATCACTGCAAGCGATGAAAGAAATTCTGTGTGGTACAAATGACAAGGAACCCCCTACAGAGACTGTGGCTCAGCTAGCACAAGAACTCTACAGTAGTGGGCTGCTGGTGACACTGATAGCTGACCTGCAGCTGATAGACTTTGAGGTAATGTATCTGTAAGAGCATTATATCTCTGCTTTTCAATTTTAATATATATGACTATTAATATTTGACTTTAATTTTTTTATTAGTTTGTTTTTGTTTTAAATCCTCACTCAAGGATATTTTTTCCATTGATTTTTTTAGAGAGAGTGGAAGGGAGGGAAAGAGACAGAGAGAGAGAAACATTGATGTGAGAGAGACACATCGATTGGTTGCCTCCTGCACACGCCCCAACCGGAGCCAGGGATCAAGCCTGCAACCCTTCAGTCTGCTAGCCGATGCTCTAACCACTGAGCAAAACCAGCCAGAGCTACTGTTTATTATTTTAAAACAGTTTTTTTCTAAAACTCTAAAATCACTTTAATCTTTTTAAAAATTAAAAATTATTTTTAATTACAGTTGACATACAATATTAAGATGTGCAGCATAATAATTAGACGTTTATATAACTTATGGAGTGATCACCTCGATGAGTCTAGTGCCCATCTGACACCACACAGAGTTATTACAATATTATTAACTATATTCATTATGCTGTACTTTATATTCCCATGACTGTTTTTATAACTGGCAATTTGTACATCTTAATCCCCTCCCCTTTTCACCCATCACCTCCAACCCCCCTTCCATCTGGCAACCATGAATTTGTTCTCTGTATCTGAGTTTGTTTCTGTTTTGTTTGTTAGTTTGTTTTTAGATTCCACATATAAGTGAAATAATTTGGTATTTGTCTTTCTACTTATTTCACTTAGCATAATACCCTAGGTCCATCCATGTTGTCACAAATGGCAAGATTTCATTCTTTTTTATGTGATTAATATTCCATTGTATATATGTTTCACTTTTTCTTTACATTCATCTATTGATGGACACTTACGTTGCTTCCATATCTTGGCTATTGTAAGTAATGCTGAAATGAACATATGTTTGCTTATGTCTTTTTAAGTTAGTGTTTTGGATTTCTTCAGATAAATACCCATAAGTGGAATTATTGGGTCATATGGTAGTTCTATGTTTTATTTTTTTGAGGAAACTTCTTTCTATAATGGCTATACCAATTTACGATCCCACCAACAGCGCACAAGGGCTCTCTTTCCTCCACATCCTCACCAACACTTGTTTGTTGAGTTATTGATGATAGTCATTCTGACAGGTGTGAGGTGATATCTCACTATGATTTTAATTTGCATTTCACTCATGATTAGTGACACTGAGCATCTTTCCCTATGTCTCTTAGTCTCTTGGCCATCTGTGTGTCCTCTTTGGAGAAATGGCTCTTCAGGTCCTCTACCCATTTTTTAATCAGATTGTTTTTTTGGAGTTGAGTTATATGAGTTCCTTATATATTTTAGATATTACCCCTTTTCAGATGTATCATTGGCAAATATCTTCCTCCATTCAATAGGTTGTCTTTTCATGTTGTTGATGTTTTCCTTCACTGTGCAAAAACACTTTAGTTTGATGTACTCCTGTTTGTTTATTTTTTCTTTTACTTCCCTTGTCCAAGGAGATAGATCCAAAAAAATACTACTAAGAGTGATGTCAAAGAGTAGCAGTAGCCTATGTTTTCTTCTAGGAGTTTTATGGTTTCAGGTCTTACATTTAAGTTTTTAATCCATTTTTATTTTATTCTTGTATATAGTATAAGAAAGTAATCCTGTTTCTTTCCTTTACATGTCTGTCCAGTTTCTCAACACCATTTATGTATTTATTTGTTTGTTTGTTTATCTATTTAATTTTTGTTGATAGTATTACAAATGTCCCCCATTCCCCCCCCCCAACACCATTTATTAAAGAGACTGTCTTTACTTCATTGTATATTCTTGCCTCCTTTGTCATAGATCAATTGACCATATAGGCATGGGTTGTTTTGGGGAGTTCTCTATTCTGTTTCATTGCCAGTACCATGTTTTTATGCCAGTACCATGCTGTAGTATAGTTTGATATCCAGTAGTGTGATACCTCCAACTTAGTTCTTCTTTCTCAAGATTTTTTTGGGTATTCAGGGTCTTTTGTGCTTCAATATATATTTTAGGATTATTTGTTCTAGTTCTGTGAAAAATTCCATTGGTAATTTGATAAGAATTTCATTCAAACTCTACATTGCTTTGTGTAGAATGAACATTTTAACAATGTTAATTCTTCCTATCCATGAACACGGTATATCCTTTCATTTATTTTTATCTTCTTCAGTTTCTTTCTGCAGTGTCTTATAGTTTTCTGAGTACAGGTCTTTTACCTCCTTGGTTGAATTTATTCCTGTGTATTTTTTTCTTTTTGATGCAATTGTAAATGGGATTATTTTCTTAATTTTTCTTTCTCTTTTTATTGGTGTATAAAAATGCAACCCATTTTTGAATATCAATTTTGTATCCTGCTACTTTACTAAATTCATTTATTAGTTCTAATAGTTTTTGGTGGAATCTTTAAGGTTCTCTCTATATAGTATTATGTAATCTGCAAATAATGACAGTTTTACTTTTTCATTTCCAATTGGTATGCCTTCTATTTTGTTTTCTTGTTTTACTCTGACTAGGACTTCAATACAAGTGGCGAGAGTGGACATTCTTGTCTTGTTCCTGATCTTAAGGAAAATGCTTTTAGCTTTTCCCCATTGAGTATATGATGTTAACTGTGGGTTTGTCTTATATGGCCTTTATGTTGAGGTATATTTCTTCTATCTCCACTTTGCTGAGAGGATTTTTTTCTTTTTAGATTTATTGACAAATTAGAAAAGAAAGAGTACAACAGCCCTTCATCTGTAAAATTTAAACATCATAAATTTTGGTATTTAAAATAGTTTTATAATTTAGATATCATTATCATCAAAAACCCAGATGGTTGAATTGATTATTTTTCAGTATATGGCTGGAAGGTCAGGGATGGAACTTAGTAGCACTCAGAGATTTGGTCATCATTTCCCAGGAAAGGCTGTGCCCTTTGCTTCATAGCTATTGTTGATTCTGCGTGAATTTCTCCATAATGTTCTAGATGAGGAGTCCTGGTCCTTCTGCTTCTCTACCTTCTCAGCAGCTTCCCTGCATTATTTGAAGTTATGTTCCAATTTTCTGGAAATTTGTCTGTTTCAGCTGTTATTAGGGCATCTATTTGGATAAGTCCATTATCATTTATTTTCTTTTTACATGCAGCTCACGATAAACAGAACTTTGTAATTGGAAGAAGCTACATAAGTAACCATCCTTTCCGTTTTTTAATGAAGAAACTGAGATTTGCAAAAGCTGAATTACTTTGCTTCCAGAGTACTCAGCAAATAAATTGCAGAAGTAGAATTGGAACTTGTGAACACTGTTAATCTAAATGTGTGTTGTTTTTTGTTTGTTTTATTTTGTTTCGTTAATCCTCACCCAAGAATATTTTTTCATTGATTTTTAGAGAGAGTAGAAGACAGGGAGGAGGGGAGGGGGAGAGAGAAAGAGACAGAGAAGACGAGGGGAGACACTGATATGAGAGAGATTGGTTGCCTCACACATATGCCCTGACCAGGGCCAGGGATGGAACCTGCAACCCATGTATGTGCCCTTGACTGGGAATCAAACCTCCGACCCTTCAGTGCATGGGCCGACATTCTAACCATCTAGCAACACTGCCCAGGGCTAAATGTGTTTTAATCATCTCTGAGACATTTCCTCAGAGACATTAAAGCATCACCCCTCCCCCGCCCTCTCACTACAGAGAACTCTGGCTTTGTCTTCCAGATACTGAGAGTTTTTTATCATAAATGGATGTTGGATTTTGTTAGATGCTTTTTCTGCATCTATTGATATGATCATACGATTTTTATCCTTCAGTTTGTTTATGTGGTGTATCATGTTAATTGATTCGCATACTGAATCAGTCTCGAATCGCATGAATAAATCCCACTTGATCATACTATATGATCTTTTTAATGTATTGCTGAATTCAGTTTACTAATATTTGTTGTTATGTTATTTATTTTTTAATCCTACCCAAGGACATGTTTTTATTGATTTTAGAGAGAGAGAGGAAGGGAGGAAGGAAGGGAAGGAGAGAGAGAGAGAGAGAGAGAAAAGACAAAGAAACATCAATGTGAAAGTAAAACATCAATTGGTTGCCTCCCACAAGTTCCCCAACAGGACATCAAACCCTCAACCTTTTGTGTACAGGACAGCGCTCCAACTGGCCAGACTGTTGAGGATTTTTTCATCTGTGTTCATCAGGTATATCGGTCTATAATTTTTTCTAGTGTGTTTCTCTGGTTTTGATATGAGGGTAATGATGGCCTCATATAATGGATTTGGGAGCCCTCACTCCCCTTCAATTTTTTTAAATAGTTTGAGAAGAATAGGTATTTAGTTTTTCTTGTCTGGGAACTTGAACTGTTTTGTTTTGTTTTATTTTGTTTTGTTTTAAGTATGTCTTTATTGATTTCAGAGAGAGGAAGGGAGAGAGAAAAATGGAAACATCAATGATGAGGGAGTCATTGATCAGCTGCCTCCTGCACATCCCCGACTGGGGATCAAGCCCACAACCCGGGCACGTGCCCTGACCGGGAGTCAAACCAAGATCTCTTGGATCATAGCTCAGTGCTCATCTGCTGAGCCATGCCAGCCGGGCTTTAACCGTTTTTTAATAAAGCAAAAAGTTTTTCTATAATTAAGTTTTGTGCAGCTAGGTAGCAAGATTAGTGGCCAATAATAATAATAATAGATTTGGTGAGTGTTTCCTACATATTGTACAATTTTAAGCACTTAATTTTTTAAAAACCCTATGTCATTGGTATTTTATTATTAGCCCCATTTTGTAGATAAAGAACCTAAAATTCAAAGATATTAAGTAATTTTCCCCAAATCATTCAGTTACTAAGTGAGTAAGCTTAAGCTGGGATTCAAATGCAGTGTCTCCCAAACCTGTTCTCTCATTAAAATATTATAAAATATTTTCCCTATTAAAATATTATACCAATGTTTTAAGAAGTTTGTTAAGTGCTAGTAATATACAGTGTTTATCTCATTTTGAAAGCA